TAGGGGAGATCCCAGAATCTCATGAAATCTAGGAGGCACTCTGCCATGAAACTATATCTCAACAAATTTTCCCATCACCTCCTGGAGTTCTTTGACTTAATTGTTTTTTAATAAGAGTGTATTGATTAATTTGCACATTCCTTTGACTCTCCTCATATCCTTTCTGTTGCTAGTTTTGTTTTATATCATGACAGTTGAGATACAAATGCTATCTTGGCTGTTCTTTTTTTATTACTTATTTTTTAGCTAATACCAAACTTATTTATTTATTTGTGTGTGTGTGTGTGCATGTGTGTAGTCAAACTTTTCTTTGGGCTGGAAGCTCACAAATAATGACATAGACACTTATTACTAGTTATGAAAGCTTGGCCTTAGCTTAGGCTTTTCCCCAACTTGCTTTTACAAATTAAATTAACCTGTTTCTTTTCATCTGTGTTCTAGCGCATAGCTCGGTTACCTCTCCTCTGTACTGTATGTCAACTTCCTCAGTGTCTCCCTGGCATCTCTTTGCCTCACTTCTTCTCAGAGTTCCTCTCTTTCCCCAGAAGTCCTGCCTAGTCTCTTCTGCCTAGCTATTGGCTATTCAGCTCTTTATTAAACCAGCCACAATGACACATCTTCACACAGTGTAAACAAATATTCCCCAATGTATACGTCCTGCCTTGGCATTTGTGTGGCAGATGAGATCAGAGGACAACTTACAGTAGTTGGTTCTCTCCTTCCAGAGTATGGGACGCAGGGATGAAACTCAGGTTGTTAGGCTTGTCTGCAGGACTCTTTAGCTGTTGAACCATGTCAACGGCCCCTTTCTGTACTTTCTGGATCCACACAAACTACAGGAGCAGAGTTAAATCCAAAAGTCAGATGTCTTCCTTTGGCTCTTCTAAAGTGTAGAAGGAGCATTATGGTGGTAACCCAGTGTGAGCAAGGCCACAGACAGAATGGCTTCTGGTGGAGACTTGGTGACTTATTCTTTAGATTCCTTCATGATTTCTCTAAATGAAACTTGCATTTTCACTAAAATTTATTTATCTTTACATTTTCTTTCCAGTACTCTTTCCATTCCTCACCCCAATATATGAGATGTTAAATGTCTCCCTGTTCCCAAAGGATTCGATAGCATTTTTCAAAAAATTTGTGGACAGAATGAAGGAAAATCGCCTGGATTCTAACCAGAAGGTAAAAAGTGGTGAACTCATGAGAGTCCAGAGTTTGATAATATGTTGGGTTATGAAAATGTGAGCTGTGTGCTCCATTTATCTATCACTAAAGGTAGATAGAGAAGGCTAGATTTAGAGTGAGAGAGAAAGAAAGAGTATTTATATTTTCTAGGAGAGAAGTTAGAGTTTTAAAAATTTGATTGAGAATAACCCAGGAATTAAACCTTAGCAATAGGAATGAAAAGTAGATGTATAAGTATTGAAATAAAAAAAAAATGACAAGGCACAATACCTACACAAGATCAAGGCCACCAAATCTCCAGCAAAAACAGAAAGGACCTCTGGAAGCCTCACCCCTCACTGAAGAACTATTGGTAGTTGATGGCTGCAGAAGGAAGGTGTGGCCACCAGTAGGTTTTCCCTGCACCAGTGGATGTCCCCACAGCCAGGCACATATGGGCAGCACCAGCTGGACTCAGTGGGTTATTAAAAAAGAGAGGTCATGAAGTTTGAAGGAAGAAATGTTATAAGGGATAGAAAAGGGATCAAATGGAGGAAATGGTGGGGTGGATAAGATAATATCTCATTGTATACATGTAGGAAATTCTCCAAGAATACCTAAAAATGATTAAAAAGGGGGGCGATACTATTATCATCTCCTTCAAAAACATTCTCCAAAATCAAAGCTATTGTTTAAATTTGTATCTCTTGTAATTTATTGTAAATGTGGTTGATGTGGTAGCTGCATGGCTTCCTGGTTTAGCCACTGGTACTTTTGTTCTGTAATGACTCCAGCAACACTAACTTGAGTAATCAAAGCTTCTGCATGGCTGATTCACCTCTGACTTCTGACCTCACCATTGACCTTCTGTTTTTGCAACTTCTCTTTCTGCTTCTAGCACCGAGTGGATTTTCTTCAGCTGATGATGAACACTCATAACAATTCCAAAGACGATGAGTCTCATAAAGGTAAACAAGGACTCCCTGGTCTAGGGACAAGGAAGCTCTCAGGGAGCGGTCAGACCGCTCAGAAAATGTGTGGGAAGGTTTTCTAGCAGAAGAATACCCCTGCGGAGTTGATGGCAGAAGGACATGGCTATTGTCTCCAGGGAATTTTCTAGAAGCACAGGGGCACAAGTCTGTTCCAAACATAAAGGATTTCAATAAGGAAGTCTTCAGTGGTCTCTGTGTGCTACCTAGATCTTTCCCAGCACACTGACTGGGAACTCTGCCTAGACATCTGACTCTAAACATCCAGTCAGGAGGCATGTACCCAAATGGTGCTGGTGTTTTCTGGGAGCCTCTGCTGTACATGAGTTCTCTACCTTAGTCTTGCTAAAGATTTACTTTTCTTAGTGTGATGAACAAGTGGCACCTGGGGAAAGCCTCTTTGTACAAACACACTGGCTCTCTTCATTCTTTTACACACTTAAAAATCACTTGTAGATTTTTATCTTCTGTGTATATGCACATGGGCACACCCCTAGGTGTATGTATAGATGCCAGAGGAAGGCACCAAGTGTCTTGTTCAACCACTCTCTGCCTTCTTTCCTCAGGACAGAGTCTCTTATTAAAGCTGGAGCTAGGCTGGCAGCCAGCAGGTCCCAATGATCCTCAGAGTTGGTGTTACAGGTGTGTGTGACCACACTTGGCTTTTTACATGGTGACTGAGGAGTCAAACTCAGGTCTTCATGCTTGTGCAGCAGGTGCTCTCACCCATTGAACCATCTCTCTAGCTTCCCATCTAGGTTTATGTTTTAATTTAAAACCATTATTACTATCATAGTTGAAAAATGATGACATCCCAGTTCCAGACTTAATTCTATGTGTGTGCATTAGTAGTTAATGTAAAGAGTCTTCCATCCTTTCTATTTGCTTATTTCTAGTACATACAATTGCTTGTATATAACAATTTGATCTTCTACGTCCCCAAATTTGCTTTTAAAAGTCATCATGTATTTTGTGTTTCAAATTCTCTCTAGTTTGCCCACTTGAAGCCCTTTAATGTGATTATCTAATTTCAAATTCTTCTATACCTCTCATCCTTTGGAGGCTGAGTCTCTTGTAGCCCAGGTTGACATCATGTTCATAATGTGTCTAAGAATTACCTTTTAATGTCTATGCTACCATGCCTAGTTTATACAATGCTGGGGATTGAACCCATGGCTTCAAGCATGCTAAGCAAGCTCTCCACCTACTGAGCTATATATCCTTAGCTCTTCTGTTTCAATTTTGATTGCTAAATAGATATTAATTTTTAAATACCCACTGATTGTGCAATTATAGTCAAGTTTCAATTTAGTAACAAGGACTTAAAGTAATTGGAAGAAAAAAATGCCAAAAACAGAATCATAACACTCATGGAAAAGGTTTACAACTGCCTGTAATTCCAGCTCTATGGACTCCAATGTCATCTTCTGCTCTCCATACACACATAAAAACATTTTAAGTTCTAGCAAAGGACTAGAGTTCAGTTCCCAGCACCTACCTCTGAAAGCTCAGTCTTTTACAACTCTGTGTCTAGAGGATCAGATGCCCTCTTCCGGCCTCCATGGGCACTATCCTGACTGAAACAATCTTCCCCTTCTCTGGCTGTGTTCCATGGATGTCAGGGTGCTAACAGCCCCAGGGTGACTGAATGATTTCTCCATATTTATCTCTAGGGAAACAGGAGCCTCATCTCTTTTGTGACGATCCACTCTGACCTGACTTTCCTGAAATATTTTCTTACTTTCAGCTCTATCTGACATGGAGATTACAGCCCAATCAATTATCTTTATTTTTGGTGGCTATGAAACCACCAGCAACACAATTGCTTTCGCCCTGTATTTACTGGCCACTCACCCTGATATTCAGAAGAAACTGCAGGAGGAGATCGATGAGACTCTGCCCAATAAGGTGAATGGATGGTGCTTTAAGGAGGAGGGAAAAGGAGACACCAATCACCCTCAGTAGTGTGTGTGTGTGTGTGTGTGTGTGTGTGTGTGTGTGTGTGTGATAAACCTACATTGGGTATTTTTCTAAATCACTTCCCACCTTGTTTTAAGAAAGGCTTTCTCACAGAACCTCCAGCACATCAATTTTTTAGGCATTCTCCCCACTGATCACCAGGTAGGCCTTTACTCTGTGTCCCCTACCCCACTGCTGGGATTATAGATGTGTGCAACTGTGCCTGAATTTATGAATTATATGTATCTGAACTCAGGCTTTCATGGTAGACACTTCACAAGTTGAGACATCTTAAGCCCCAAGCGACAGTTATTCTAATCACTTTGTAAGGGGCTGGATAGATGGCTCAATGATTAAAAGCACTGGCTGTTCTTTTGGAAGAACCATCCAGGTTTGATCCCCAACCCCAAATGGCAGCTCTCAGCTGTCTGTAATGCCAGTTACAAGAGATCTGACACCTTCTTCTGACTTCTGTGGGCCCTGCACTCATGTAGTACATAAGACACATATGTAGGCAAAACAATCCCTCCACACATAAAATAAAACAATTTAAAAACCTTATAAAATGTTTTGTAATTGCCTAGGACCAATGCAATGCTGAGTTCAGCTTTGGAGCTACTGAGAACTCAACAGTACAATGCAGACCTATTGAAAGCTAATGTAAAATCCCAGTACAAATATTTTTCTTTCTTTTCAGGCATCTCCCAGCTATGATAAAGTGATGGAGATGGAGTACCTCGACATGGTGTTGAATGAAACTCTCAGATTATACCCAATTGCTAATAGACTTGAGAGAGTCTGTAAACAAGATGTTGAAATGGATGGTGTGTTTTTTCCCAAAGGGTCCATAGCAATGATACCAGTTTATGCTCTTCACCATGACCCGCAGTACTGGCCAGAGCCTAAGGAATTCCGCCCTGAAAGGTACCAGAATCCCCAGAGTGTGAACCCACCCTGAACATGTTTGCCTGTATATGCTATGATGTCTCTTATGAAATGATGATCTAAATGTGATTTTGCATCCATTTGCATTCTGCGATGAGAATGGCAGAGAAAGGGAAGAAAAGAGAGGAGAGGGGAAGAGAGACTGGGAAGAAAATATGACAATTTACATACAGAGTGTTTTCCTCCTCCTACCTCAAGTAGCAAATGGCCAATTTAAGTATGAGACAGGAGCCCATTTTCCTTCTGTCTAACTGACATGTGCTTTTCAGAGATGAACCCAGCATTATCCTGAATGGACTTTTAGATTTTTAAGATATATTCCCTCTTTTCTTTGTTTTATTCTTTGACAATTGCATGCTTGTATAATATATTTTGGTCATCTCCACCTCGCATTACCCTGTCTTTTCTCCCTCCCACAAGGTTGAATCCCTATTTGTCTTCAACAAGTCTTCCTCCTGTTTTCATGTCTTCCTGTTTTCGTGTGACTCATGAGTTTAACTAGGGTTGCTTGAATAAGAGTAGCAAGCACAGGAGTTATTTACTGGAGAATGAACAACTCACCAGTAGCTACACCATGGAAGAGAAACTTCCTCCTACCACAGAAACCGTTAATTGTCAATAGCTCTTTAGGGAGGCGGCACCTCATGAACTCCCTCCCCACCCATGACACAGTGTATCAACATGGGTCCAGTCTTGTATAGGCAACCACAGCTCCTGAGTGCGCAAGAGTACAATGGCTGTGTCATGTCCAGATGATAGTGTTTCACAGCACCCTTTCATTCCCTTGCTCTTAAGTTATTCTGCCCCCTCTTCTGAGATGTTCTCTGAACCTTGTTGGGAAAGATATTGATGTCCCATTAATCACTGAGCACTCCACCATCACCCATTTTCAGCATTTTGACCAGTTATGACTCTCTGTGTAAACTATCTCCCACTGCATTCAGAAGCTTCTCTGACCAAGGCTGACAGCAGCACTAAATTTGTTTATAAACATGAATATTTAGAAGGCAGCTTGATACCATGTCCACTTAGCAAAACAACAGTAATATGTTCTACTCTAGAGCCTATGAACTCCCTAGCCATTGAATAATTGCCCAGATTTACAGTACCAGACATTAATTCCCTCTGTGAATTGAAACGCCAATGCAATCAGAAAATGGCTGGTTTCCCTTACCCCTTAACCCCATAATTACACTAGTGGACACATAGGATGAATTTTCTGTCAAACAGCAGTTGTCTTATCTATTATGTGGAAACTTTTTTTTTTGGTTTTTTTGAGACAGGGTTTCTCTGTGTAGTTTTGATGACTGTCCTGGATCTTGTTCTGTAGACCAGACTGTCCTCAAACACACAGAGATCTGCCTGGCTCTGCCTCACAAGTGCTGGGATCAAAGGCATGCACCACCATCGCCCCACTTCATGTGGAAACTCTTATAGGGCAAGGAGGATGGAAAGGACCTTTAGTGTATGATTCTCAGATTCCAATGTCTGCGAGAAAAAGTTCAATGAACCTTTCCCCAAACTATCTGTATGTTATCTGTTAGATGTCTAAAGGACAGTTCATGTATGTAGCTCTTATGTTTCTACCCTTTGTTGACTTATGATTACTCTGTTTCTCCAGGTTCAGCAAGGAGAACAAGGGCAACATCAGTCCTTATATATACCTACCCTTTGGTAACGGACCCAGGAACTGCATTGGCATGAGGTTTGCTCTCATGAACATGAAACTTGCTCTCACTAAAGTCCTACAGAACTTCTCCTTCCAGCCTTGTAAAGAAACACAGGTGAGGGGAAGACTATCTCTGTAAATGATGTTTTATGGGAGACTTTTTTCAATTGAAGGTTCTGTGTATAAAAACAAATACAGTTGTTTGACTTTTAATAATTTTAATAATTTGTTTTATCGTCAAATGAGTTGTTTGTGTCTAGGCATGAGCTAATGAATCTCTTATGCTGTGTCTGTATAGAGTACATTATGAAGAGTTAGTGCAGGCCAGTATGACAGGATTATATGCATTCTGTTTGAAGTTCCAGTCATGTCCATTGAAGACTGGATATGCCATATGCCAGCCAGAGGTGCAATGATCATGTCTTCTTTATTGGGTGGTACATTCTTCCAGAACTCACAGAAGCCCTCCTCTGAAAGCCTTGTCAACCATGGGCTGTACATTATAATCACCGAGGAGCTTTACAACTCACATATGGGGTCTGAGATGTTTCTCAGTTGGAAAAATGCTTACCTTGCATGCACAAAGCCCTGGCTCCCATCCTCAGAACTGCATGAAGTAGCTGTGGTGAAGCGTACCTGTAATTCCTGCACTAAGGAGAGGAAGGCAAGAGGACCAGAAGTTCAAGTAACCAACTTGGTTACATGACACCTGGTCTCAAAAACAAAAACAGACTCATGATGCCTGGCCATTTCTGAAATCCTAAAATAATTCACCAAGAGTGTAGCTTTAAAAGCTCACCACTGACTTCCCATGTGAGGCCAAGTTGAGAATCATTATTGTAAAACACAATTGCTGGAGCTCAAGAGATGGCTCAATGGTTAAGAACACTTGCTGCTCTTATAATTCGGATTCAGTTCCTGCCCCTACATAGTGGCTCACAGCTATTTGCAACTCCAGTTACAGGGCCTCTGACATGCTCCTCTTGCTTCTGTTGTGACTGCACACACGTGGTATACATGACTATGTGCAGGCAAAACACTCCTGTACATAAAATAAAAATAAAAAATATCTTTAAAAAGTCTCTAGTTATGCTGGGCGATGGTGCCACACACCTTTATTCCCAGCACTTGGGAGGCAGAGCCAGGCTGTGAGTTCGAGGCCAGCCTGGTCTACAGAGCAAGATCCAGGACAGGCACCAAAACTACACAGAGAAACCCTGTCTTGAAAAAAACAAAACAAAAAATTTCTGGTTTTGATGAACTCCAACCTTATGGGATATCTTGATGGTTCTGCCTCACTTCTCTGGAGCTTTTGCTCCAGAAAACAGGTAGTTGTCATATTTCTATAAACCATGTATCTCTTCCCCTTTTTATTTTGCTCTCATACCTCAAGTTCTTGTTCACTCCACCAAATGAATATTCTTCTTGGGTTTCTTTTCTTATTTATTTTATGCTCTACTTATGACTCCTGCAGGATGTTTTCATCACCTATGCTAGTACTTTGTCATTAAAGTCTCCAGTTTGATTGTGTTTGTTCTCTCTGTATTGAAGGAAATACCTTCTCTTTTCTATATTACCTCATATTATTCCTATATTACCTCATATTATTCCTGCCACGAACTACAAATGGTTCTTTGAGGAGAGTTTGCATATTGAAAGTAAATGTTTAAAGTATGGCTAATATATAATACTATTTCATAAAATACTAAGCTAATTAAACAATTAACAGATACTATTTGTATGAATATTTTTATATACATTTTTTTGTATGCCTCTTTGGGAAACATATGTATACTTTGCAAAATTTTAAAAGAATAAGATGGGGCATTTGGAGAAAGGGTTTACCTTTTCTTGAACAACTTGTTCTTGTTTCATGAAAAGAGATGGCTAAGATTTGTGGGTCTTCTGTATTTAGAATGTGGCTTCTCTTTGTCAATTACTTTTATTTCTGGGTGAATAGAGGGATGACAGTGTTTATTCTGTGATTTGTGATTTAAGGCAATTGTATAGCTTTACCTATACACAACCTCACTTACGTTAGTACTTTCTCACTGAAGCATTTAAATCATAAGCATATACAGGGATTTAGACAGACAAAGCAAGATTCAAATTTTGAGACTTAATGTCACACCTGCTAAGGGGCATAAGCTCTGGCAAGCTCCACTTGTCTTAAATTTGACACTTCTCTATCTCCCTGACAACTTTGTTCCCCTTCTTTCTCCTGTGATCAGAAGATCACTCCACTGGAGGCATTTCCCCCCTCCATCATCGAATAGCGTGAGCCTAAAAGCGTCATTGAAAACATTGTATGACTCCAAATTGCTCATTCACTCTATTCTTGGAAGCCAAGAATAGATGCTAGAAAAGCAAGCAAATGTCTGTCCTCCTAAAGACTTATCATCAATGGGCTCAACTCTCGTGGTGACCTGTGATCTAGGAGTTGAGGACTGTCCACAGACTTGAAATATATCTTCTCAGGGTTAGCTTGCAAGTTTCAACAAACCAAAAGTAGCTATTCAGGGATTAAAAAATAATATGACATAATAACTAGTAATCAGGTTCAAAAATGTGAAACTTACCTGTTTTACTCCAAATCAGCACAGAACAGAAATAACATCAGCCAACATGACTTCATCTCAGGCCCTGTATACAGTAGAGTCTCAATCAACATTGTACCCAATGTATGGTTTGGATGTAGGCTCTCACCATATAAGTGACACAGCCTGGAGAGTAAGAAAGTCAAAACATACAACATTAAATGCAGTTCCATGTTTCTGTAAAGCATTATCATCCTGAATTTTTTTTAAAAAAACTTTTTTTCTGGGGTTGCTTTTGGTTCATTCATTGATTTCCAATATTTTTCTTCCACTATTTCAGATCCCTCTGAAAATAAGCCGAAAGGCAATGTTTCAACCAGAAAAACCTGTTGTTCTAAAGGTTGTGCCACGGGATGAGATCATAACTGGAGCATGACTTCCTTTCAAGGACTTCCACCGTGTTCTTCAAGAAGGTGATATCTAAGAACATTGGACTCTTTAATTTACTTCAGGAATAAAACCCAGATGAAGATGAGGCTTAATTTCCTGGCCTTGATGCATGGTTATGGATTCAGTACATCCATTGAGCTTTCTCAGTGTCAATACAGAGTACCATCTAATGTAAAGGAAATGACTAAATCAGTTGACAGAATGAGAAATTCACCTTCTCTGGTCCTCATGGGGCTACTTCCATCCACATTTCTTTTGAGAGTAACTATGCTATTGTAATGTAACAAACAATAATTTTTAAATGAAAATCTGGACCACTGTGACAATTTTTATTGTAAAACTGGTATCAGATGCTCTAGTTGCAATATTCTGCAATAAATGTTACACTGAAAATGTAAACATTTCTTTTTTAAAAAATAAATTTATTTTATATCCTAGCTGCAGTTTTCCCTCCCTCCTTTCCTCCCAGTCCCTTCCTCTGCTGCCCCCCTCTGTTCCCACTCCCCAATTCATTCCTCCTCTGTTTCTGTTTAGGAAAGGGCAGATTTCCCATGAAAGCCAACAAAACATGGCATATCAAGTTGCAGTAAGACTAAGCACCTCCCATGAATTAAGGCTGGTCAGAATGAGGAGTAGGTTCCCACAAGCCAGTAAAAGAGTTGGAGATAACCCCTGTTCCCACTGTTAGGAATCCCATAAGAGGACCAAGCTACACAACTGTAACATATATACAGAGTGCCCAGGTCAGCCCCATGCAGGCTCCCTCATTGTCAGTTCAGTTCCTTTGAGCCCTTATGAGCCCAGGTTAGCTGATTCTGTGAGATTTTTTTTTTGTGGTGTCCTTGACCCCTCTGGCTCCTACAATCCTTTCTTCCCCTCTTCTGTGGGGTTTCCTGAACTCTGCCTAATGTTTGGCTGTGGGTCTGCATCTGTTCCCATCAGTTGCTGGATGAAGCCTCTCTGATGACAGTTCAGCTAGTCACCAGTCTGGTCACAGGCGATGGTCAACTCCGGCTATATACCTGCTATTGCTAGGAGTCTTAGCGGGGGTCATCCTTGTAGATTCCTGGGAGATTCCTTTGCATCAGGTTTTTACCTG